TGTGCAATATTGTAACCTATCAATTATATATTTACAACTGGTTACAAATATCAGCCAACATTACATTATATTTTCGATTGTTTCATGCTTTAATACTTTGTTTTAACAAGCAAATATAAAATATTGATGTATAGACGCATATATATAGATATTTCAAGATTTTATATCTTTACTAATGGTACTACACTTTTACGATTCAATAGAGTTAAAATCCAAAGCACTTAAGTAAAGTGTGTGGTAATAAAAATAACATTAGGGCAGCTTTGATATTAACTTTACTTGATTAGCTATATGCGCATGTTCTTGATACATAGAGTAAGCGATGTCCGTTCTAATTAGTGGATTAATTATACATATGTATAAAGAAGTTGTAAATAAGTGAAGTTAAACATTATTTCGTAAAATATTATAAATATATAAGTTCTAAAAATATACAAAATACATAAGAAAGCTATGAAATGTATGTTGATTGTAATTAAATACGTCTCTATTTAAAAACACGATTATTTTCACATTAGTATACTTGTACAAATCAACTCGGAATGGAAAACTTTTAAATTATTTCATTGCGTGCCAAATAGAAGCGAACTCGTGGCGATTGTTGCAATTTTGTAGCGATAATCGATTTGAAAGTAGCACAAAATAATTTTCAAACTAAATGACAGTTGTTTTATGTAAGTTGTTGCTTTTGTTTGGCGTTAATGATTTTAGTAGTAGTTTCCAAGTTTTTCAAACAAATTTCAACGAATCTAACGCTACAAAGGAATACACATGCAATTTTTAAAAATAATTTAGAGCCGTAAATTACTTTGGAAATTTCTTAAGAAACATTCATCATAACGAAACTTATCGATTTTTTTGCATGGTGAAGTTGTCAAATAAGTATGCTTTTTCATAGACTAAATCCATTTTTTAAATAAAGTTAGACAGACAAAATCATTTCGAGTTGAGTTTGGTGAATCAATCAATGGTAGGTGGGGCGCAGTGGAGATAGCACACATCCCCGATGATTGCTTTGTGCCGCAGGAAATTAGTTTTCAACTACAATCCAATGTCTATACACTCACTACACATAGAACTGAATAGAATTTTTAGTTGCTAACGTCTAGTCACGTTTTTCGATCAGGGTCATTTTTATTTGAACGTGGATGAAAAATTTAATGGCACTTTTGTCTAATAAAATAATATTATAACTTCAAACATTATAGGTTGTGGTATTAAGTGATCGCATCTATAAAGTCTGTTTTAGTCTGTAGGTGACCGTGACTTTTAATTATTTAAATCTCAATCTATTTATAACCTCAAAGGGCGAGCAAGCTTTGAACACTTTTGCTATACAATATTAAAACGACATCAAACCAATATAGCGACATTAGTACGACGTGAAATGCTAAAAGGCGTTTACCATTTTTATCCGTAAAAATGTATACTACACAAATGTATACTCCAAAAATAAACTTAGACACTGTTTGGATAAGCACGCGTTTTAACTCTTTGATAGCCAATTATCGATAATCATAATTTAATTAACATGTTTTATAGTAGTCTATACTAATATTATAAGCGGAATAATTTGTTTATTTGTTTAAACGCGCTAATCTCAGGAACTACTGGTCCGATTTGAAAAAATATTGTTTTGTTGGATGTTCCATTTATAGAGGAAGGCTTTATATAATATTACGCTGCGATCAATAGTTTTTTCGAATCGCATGCGACAGTTAGTGTCTAATATCAGTGTGGATATATTTAAGTTAAAATGTAGTGGTAACACTATTAAGTTTTCATGGTGAGGCCTAAGGGTTAAGTGAAGTTATTGTGATCACTTTACAACTCTGTTTTGAGAAGGATCAACACTTGATAGTTCCCCGCAGCGTTCGTAGCGTTATAGCCGATAAGAGGCTATTAAGTCACGAGAATGCTTATCTTGCAGATTCATTAAAGTGATTTTCTACGAAGTAATATATAAAATACTATAACAGAGTCGGTGGCGCCGTTGTAAAACCCTATAAGATGTTTAACAAAGTTTAATGTAAGATTTCTGACCTCTATATATGGATAGGCCTTAAGCTATGGTATTTTGTGCCTATTTGATTTTCGCCATTTTGGCGCTGACGGTTGCGGATGGTAGTGATGTTAAAAATTCGAACTAATAATAGAGGTAGAATTAACTGCCAGAAACTTAAGCGGGAACGCAACAAAAGCTGTTATTTCCAAGCAATGACTTAACCATTTATAGTGATCAGATGTAATTATTGTGATTGTCTACAGGAATTACCATTATTACATGAGAAAGGCGCTTGTGCTAGTTGGGTCATAAAACATTAATGAGAGTTTTGGCGTCAGCGGGACAGAAGGCCAACAACAAAAATTATTTAAAGTTGTATCTTTTTTATTTATCGCCGATTTAAAAATAAGCAATAATGCAAAAAAGTACGATTGTAAAGTAATATGAAAAATAGCAAACCTATATATCATCAGCTTTAATAAACCCAATCAATAACAAGCCTCTTTTAGACATAGGCTTTTTAAGTAAAAAAAAAAGTATTTTTGATAATTTTTCTTTTATTTACTTGCTAACTACTACATTACTAATCTAAAATTTAATTTTAGTTAAATCTATTTTTACGAACCTACTGTTGTGGATGGCCAAGTTTGGCGAAGATGTATCAGTTAGTAATCTACTACTACTAAAACAATTGTTAATCTTTGATAAAGCATTGCATAAAGAAAATTAGAGACAAAGTTGTGGGCTGCGAGGTGAAGGACGAGGGGCGCGGGTCCTCTGGCGGGTGGCCAATCGTCCTACCCTAAAAGATTACTACAATGTTTCCTTATAACATAAAGGACGAAACTCTATATTTGATAGTACTTCTCCGTATCCCACGACAAAGTAATGTGAACACAATACTTGCGATTTATTTCTTTACGATTCGTTTTAGCCTTGACCCTAAGAAATATAAATTAATTTATTATTGCAGAAGGTTTCACAAAGGTTTTTTTTTTTACAATCCAAACATTTATAATTTGATTAATTATTATTGCAAATGTGTTAAACGAAGATTGACCGTATCTGTGCGAAACTAATTCACTACAATCAAATGTCCACAAATCACCAGAACTATAAATCCTCCTTAATCGAAAATCGATCCTGGCCCTTATTTAATGCAGGCCGAGGTGTGTGTTGCCAATAATAGACGTCTGACTGGCGCCTTCGGAATTAGTCTATAAACTACCATAGTTGTTACCTTCTAATTACCTGAGATAACGGTATTTAATTTTTAAAATATTGTCAGCGTCTGACAGTTTAAAAAAAAGGCGTAAAATTCAGTTTCATATGTAGCTGTGTCTTGACAAATTCAATTTCATAATAAGCTGGGTTCGTCTTAAAATTGTAAAGGGATGTCGCACACGTGTGTGGAATAATAACGTAGCATTTTTCATATGTTGCCATCTGAATGTGCTCGAAACGTAAGCTTTGATTGCGTTATGTTGCGTAATTGGGTTCGGCGAAGGAAAGGGGACGATTGCGAATGGCAGAATTTATCAACCTTTTTCGACACATGTGTGCTAAGGCTGACTTTTACAATAATTTATTTAGACTGACGCGACTGCTAAATGTCACAATCTTTTACTTACCGTGGATTTCTGAAACCAAAATATCCGTTTAAAACACATTGTTATTTGTGCTTTGTCAAAGATAATGACATGGATGTCGAAATGTTTTATACAGAGATTTTGGTCTCAGGAACTCACGGTTAGTATAATTTTAAAGACATTTGTAAGCAGACAGATCTAAATCTAAATCTAGTCTCTTTAACAAGTCTGTCTTCTAAAAGATTCACGAATAAATATTTCACGGGGCATGTTTAAAAAAATCTATTACAAAAATGGGTCACATATTTAAAATTTTGCTACGGCGAGATAGGATGTAATAGGAATAGGATAGGTTTACTTCCGTATTTTGGGAATTCTCTTCAGCCAGCATACTTTTTAGAAGTAAAGATAAGAGATATAAGAAATAAATAAAATGAAAGAACTCGTGCAATTCATCTAAATCCGAGGATAAGAATTTAATTCTATATGAGAGTAAAATGTAATAAGCATTTTGTGGGTCAGCTGTCACCCGAAAGTATTTATTTCTAAGGTCACGTGGGTCAAATATATCAATACGGGATTATTTTCTATAAAATATATAATGCTTCCTCTGAAGTAAAAAAAATGTTTGATATTAGTACCCACATTCATTGTATCTATAAAGAGTATCAAAGTAATTCACTACAAAAATGAGTATTTATTTTGGTGGTTAGCTGGGCCACCTACCTGAGCCACCTTCGCAACATGTTTTTAGTTGACATTTCCGTGTTCCGTCTATGGTTCCACGAATTATAGCTTAGTGCACCTTTAAGCCTAAATGTCAAGTCGGCTTTACCAGCATAATATCTTAATAGAATGAAATTTCGCTATTTTTACAGTAAAACCCGTGCACAATAGTGTGCTAGTGGTTTGAGATTTTACATAAAGGTGGAACCACAACTTAGTTAAGATTTAAGTTAAGTTAAGAATGAGGTTAGAAATTAAGGGTTATGTAGATTTTGGACACGATAAGGCCGATTTATATAATGCGTGCAATTGTTGGCAGGCCCCGCACCGGCGTGGTAGGAGCACTGCTGCGACTGACGGGCCCCCTCCTGTGACTAGCCAGGTTTCGCGCTAGCGGAACGGGTGGCGGATTGTAAGTCTGCATTTCATTTTAATTTCAATACTAAAGAAAATAAAAAATGGGGTTGTATATCAGTTAATATTAATTAAACGACGCTAATTGTGGTGGCAAATGTTATTTACTTACACTTGAATAATAATAGGTAATGTGGTGTTGCAGAGGCGCGGGGCGCGGCGCGTGGCGGCGGCGCGTGCGTGGGCGGCACCATGACGCGGCGCCCGCCACCATGACGCTGCCGCCGCCCGCGCACTGCCCGCCTGCCGCCGCCGCGCACCGCGCCATGCGCTACTACCGCATCTGGATCTACGCGTGCAACGGCGCCCTGTTGCTGGCCGCGCTCGCCTTCTGCGCGGCGGCGGGCCGCGCGCTCGCCGACTATCGGCGCGCGCTCGTACCCGGCCTAGGCGCCGCTCAGCCCGGGTTTCTATACGGGTACGCGGCGCTGCCCGTACAGGCCGGCCTGCTGCAGCTGCTTGGCTGCTTCGCCGCGCTGCGCCTCTCCGAGCGCATGCTCAACGCGTACTGGCTCGCCCTGTTGGCACTGCTCGTCGGCGACGCGGCCATAGGTGTCTACTGGGCGTTCCGCTTCGAACGCGTCTGCAGAGAGCTGCGACCACAGCTGCGTCTGCGCTTGGCTAAAGATTACGATTCGGACGTGGACTTCTCGGAGGCTTGGGATCGACTTCAACGGGAGCAGCGATGCTGCGGCGTCACCGGCCCCTCTGACTTCGCCGCTTTTAATCGCTCTGTGCTGCCCCCCAGCTGTTGCCGCATCCCGGCGCACACCACGGCCGTTACGCCGGCCTCGCTCGCCGTCATGTCAGCCACGTCGGCGGTGCCCTTCACTCCGGTCCATTGCGCGCCTCACACGGCGGCTTGTGCGGAAAGATTGCTGTCTTGGCTCCGTCGAACGGCGGATGCGCTCTTTGTTCTCGGATACTGCGTCATTGCATTTTTAAAATTGTGCTTCCTCGGTATACTTCGGTACGAAATAAAGGAGATGATTCAGAAAATTAGAATATTACGCAGCGAGCTGGGGGCTGGGGAACTTCTTGACGGGAGTCCCATGCACGGCGGTCCACTGTCTCAAACGGTCGTCGTGAACGCCGTTAACGCAAATGGTGGCGTTCGCGCCCACGGGGGCAGCCCGGAGAGAGCAGGAGAAAGGGAAGCTCTGCTGGGCCGTACGTCAGAGCCGTGCGCACGGCGAAGTATACACGACGAGCCACTAGGCCTCAAGACTATAAATGGCAACAACAACTGCGAGATGCGGGAGCTGGCGCGTGGGGACTACCGACCCCTGGCGGCGGACAGCGCGGCGACTCGGATCTGACTAAGATGTTACTTGGAGCGCCTGTTCGGACGGCGGTGGCGCTCGTTCCCTGCCGCGGGCTTCGAGACGGAGCCCCCGCTTGGGCCGGTTTGCACGCGGCGCGCCGGCGCCCGCGTACGCCTCGATCACCGCCGACACACGCGCTCCGAATTCGAACTCTAGGACACTTAATGGTTCATGTGTGAGCCCTACTAGTTGGGCGTGTTGTTTAGTGGTAACTTAAACTTTGTGTGACGTAATAAACTTAGTCAATAATATAAAAATAGCAGTACATTCTAAGTGAAAACCTACCAGTGTAAAGGTGTAACTTAGTTGAAGTGAACATGATCCCACGAGCAAAGCTTGTGTTTAGTTCCTATGCTTGGCAGGTATAAATTTTAGTACATATATTTATCTTATCGCAAAAAGATTTGTTTTATATTAGTCGATTTTATTTAATATAATAAGCGTTTTATGTGGCGTTAACAGTTATGCTGTGGGAAATTAGTTAGTATTTGAAATAGGACTATTATTATTTAGATGCAGTATTATATTCTCGTTTAGAAAGTAGTATAATTTTGCCAACGGTTTCTGTAACAGTAATTATTATTTTTTAAGGTAGCATAATTTGCGATAAAATATTAATGTCTCGTAGGGACAGTGGATTACATAGGTCCACATCGATTCCGGTAAATTTTTAATGTAAAGTTGTTCAGTTTCATACAAATAAAAACTTTAAAATTATTTTTGGTTTGCAACTTGACCAATATGACCGAATTATATTGCAAAAGATCGTAAAGTATTAAAGGACGGGCGCAGTATTGCTACGAAAAGTTTACGAAGCGTTCATACGTTTGGCTTTGTACCAAATACGATATAGAAAAGACGTATAGAATCAAGAAGTACTTTTATATTCGCCTAAAGAATAATATTAATAACAATACTATACAAGGAAATCGATCAACATTTGTAAAATAATATAATTGTAATTTTACTTGATACAAATTATACGAATACGAACATTTTATATTTAGACTAAAATGATAATACAGAAGTGGATTCACTTTTTTTTACTCAAAATAATTACGTCATTAATTTCTAGATTTCTATTATTTCTTTCTGCTTTCCTAGCGACTGATAATTGCAACTATTTAGATGTAATATTTCAATGTTTCAAATACATGTAAATTTCTTTTGTTAGTATATTTGATCATTCATAATCTTAGTGTAGGGACCAGTGAAGATTTTGTTATAATTAGCTTATTCTTTTAATTTCTTGACTTCTATACGAGAGTAGATTTAACTAATATAATATTTATAAATGTATAGAGGACATTAACTATAGAAATTAGTTACAATCTTCACTGATCCCAGTAATATTTGGATGTAAATATAAATTAATAGTTTGTGTACATACACGCGTAGTGTGCGAGTAAATGAGCATGGACAGACAAAATAGTACTGATATGAGCTTAAATGACGTAGTGCCTACGAATGTATGCTTAATACAGTATAAAGCGATTAACTACATTTAATGATTCTTTACTCATTGCTGGGTAAAGTATTTCATACATTTATCAACATTAGAACAGTTACGCTACAAAAGTGATAACTACATTTATGTCATGGTAAGCGGGACGTTTAAATTTTTATGGCTGTGTCCAAATAGGGTTCGAAACCTTTTTTAATGTCTTCGAGATTTGTCACTTATAAATGTATATTTATTATTGTAACGATTGTAAAAGATTTTAATGTCATTTCGGATATGTGAAAGCAGGAAAACGTACGGGCGAGTTAAGTGAGTGAATTTAAAAACATTGTCAAAAGGAAGAGTATATTAAAATTGTCAAACTAAACACTTTGTTTAGTTATGAAAAGGAAATAATTTATATAATCGGCAAAAACAACGACCACGTCAACAATAGTTGTATCACGGCGTATTACTAATTTCTCTAAGTACATTTAAATCCAAAAATTATACCTATCTACATATTTGTACTTATGATGTACTTTTTTCTAGATAATATAATAATGAGTATGAAATAATTACAACGTTCGCTTAGAGTAGGTATAATATGTGGAATTACGCAAAAGAATAGTTTTTTAATATTGTTGTCACAATGAAAGTACCAATCTTATAAAAAAAATTGTACCTATGTTCGGAAAGTTGGATAATTTGTAGTTAGGATCCAATCTAACTCCTGCATCTCTTCAAAAAACGATTTAAATATTTTACATGTGCCTTGGCTTATAAAAAATATTTACGTTATTATTACTTAAAAAACTTTATAATAAAATATCTCGATAAAGGTCTCCCATTACGATTTTTTTTTATTATAATTTTATTTAATGTTTGATGATTGACCCTGCTGTTTAAAAAATCAAAGAACGAAATAATTTTCAATACTTTTTACTTTTAATTTTTGTTAATAAATTTTCATTAGAGGCCAGGTTTAATATTGCTAGTAAAGATTAAAAAAGTATAAAAACAGTAAAATGATAGTTCTATGACCTTTAGGTTTGTCACAAAACTGTTGTCGTTGTCTGAAAGTGACTGTGTTGTGTAGGCCAGTGTGAATCATTTCCAATCATATCATCATTTAATATTAGGTAAGTGAAACTCAACATCTGTGTACGTTACGAAGTTTAAAGATGTCTACGAAGACAGGAAGTTTTTGAAATCGTGTTAAAAGTATTATATAACAGAATGAAATACATTATATGTCAATAAATAGATGGAGCTTTCAATCATTTCTTGCTGTAAAGTTTATTATATGTGTTCAATGTTTATATGTAATGAGTGTTTCATAATTGTATTCAATATTTGTAGAGGAGTTGATACAACTTTCCGAAGGTACGCGCTAGGCGACTGAGAGCTAATATTATCATAAATGCATCAAATAAAGAGTTTGTTAAATGTTCAATTTTTTATTTGATATTTATACCTTATGGAACATCCTGTATACCATATTAAACATCCACAACAACTACAAGGAATAATTTATGAGGAGACTATCAATTAATTTAGTGAGGGGATGGGGGCATGAATCGCTTCATTTATCAGAAAAAGGAAGAGTATATTATTCTTTGTACATTTTAAATTGAACATAAAAATAAAAATTTTGTATGTTGTTAACGTTATTGATAATATGCTTCATTTATTTCCATTATTTATGTAGTAGTCTTTACGTAGAAAATGACTTTATTGTTACAACGAAAATTATCACAATGTTTTACCCTATAATTTGCTTAAACATTTATAACGTATATTTTAAAGACCTTTCATAACTCTACCCTCGTTCGTTTGTTTTCATTGTAACTTAATCACAACAAGAGGATAACAAATAGTTCCTTATGCCGTTAGAAAACATAACACGCACGCCCTACATTGAGTACCCTACAAATATTAATTGGTGTAACGAGATATGAATCAAAATCTGATAATAGCGTAACTAATTAACGGCTTTTTGGCTATTAAATTACATAATTGTAATGTAAAATATGGTAAAAATAAATAACTTTCAAAGAAAAAGGAACAAAGAAAGTAAGAACAAATTACTAATTATTATAAACACAAAAGAAATGTTTTCTTTAAGTTCGATAAAGAAAAATAACCTTTGGATTTTAAAAGTAAAGTTCGAAAGGTAAAGGAAAATATACTTCTTTAAAATTTCATCGCACCATTTAAATCTAACTTATTTTATAGTACTTACCTGTACAAAATCCTCAGTAATTCTGTAAGTTCTGTCAACGTTTGCTCCACCAATCACCAGTACTGGATTTGTCAAATTCTCGTTTTTGATAAACGGACCGACTTTGTCAACAGGATCCGACGTTTCAACGCGTAAATTGCATGCAGTATGAAATTGTCTCGTTCCCAAATTCCTGGAAGATCCGGTATTAAAAGAATTTCGTGCGTTGCTCACATTTTTCAGTTTTTGAAATTCGACAGCTATGTCGGCGCCCACTTTTGCGTTGTTTTTTATTAGAGCGATGTCTGTGTTAGAGTTAAGGAATTTTTGAATTTTAAAGCGTGGAAATCTAACTTCGATTTGTACTGACAAGATTTTAAATTTCTTTTTACCATTGCCATTTTATCGTTGAAGTTTCATCTTTGACGTTAAAAAAGGATACTTGTGCTGAGGGAAGCACCTCCGGTGGCCTTGGCCACGGCGGCCAGTATGTACGGTGTAACTTCTTTACCTTGGATTCCTTCCTTCTTCGCATTCTCCAGAGCCTGCTGTATTGATTCTTCTATAACATTTTCTGTGAACACGACAGGAGAGATTTTATCAATTTTAAATAAGCATAAATCTTTGCATCACACACGAACTTATCTGTAGGTAATACGAAAATTATTTAAAGTTAAAAAGGATAAACTGAAACTTTTTTTTACCATCCATAGCATATTCCTGGGGCACAGGTACTGCAACTACGACGCCTGATCGGAGCCGCAGTTGTCTCGCAGCGTGCAAGATGCGGGCGGCATGCGGTGCGTCTGCAGCGCGGTGCGGCGGGCGGTGGCCAGACCGTGTTGTATAGAACGCCGGAAAGTCATCAGTAGCACCAAACGCACAGACAGTTACACCATGAGTTTCCTAATAAAATGCAAATATGCTAAAAAAAAGTACGAGACTTAATATCATATAAGATTTATGAGACTATAAGGACTTTAGAAACAGTAGAGTTGAATTTCGTTGCTAAACTTATACCTCGACACACTCACAGGAAAAACCCATAGAAGCGGTTTTGACAATACTAGGAGCAGACTTCTTAGTATTAAAATGTTTGTTTTAGAGCAATCTTGGCATTCCCATAGCGTAGTAATATATTATCGTAGACAAGACCACAATGTATAGAATGTAATTTTCGGACGCGGAGTTGAACATTAAATATGATATTGAAATAACTTTGAATTAATGCTCACGCAATATTTTAAAGCAAATGGCTCTGCGGATTCTGATACCGAGCTTACGGAGCTTCGCATACTTTTAATAATAGCTTTCAGTGAAAAAATTAAGCGTTTTAATAAATATGGTTTGCTGGCAGTTTTTAATTTCAAATTGTATTTAATGGATAAATTTATTATTAAAACCATTAACACTCCGAATGATTGCGACCGATAAAAGTGGATACAGAGTATTCTATTTTAAATATTTGAATTTTTCTGTGTCTTAAAAAAATGCCTACTATACTACTTACTTTCTCTACGTAGATAGATTAGATAACAAGACATTATTTCTACTATAATTATGACAATACGAAATAATGAAGGTTATTAAAAGAGGTTTTATATTACCAAGTATTCCAGTGTCCTCCCGATGTCTAGAATGGACTTAACTCCGCTGCAAACAACTAAAGTGCGACTGCGACCCAATTCAGTTAAGTCTGCTGAGACGTCCATTGTTAGTTCACCTTCACGGTGTACTCCACCTGGTTGTATTACCTTATTATTTTATTTATACAAAATAATATAAGTTTATGTATATTTTTCGTGAAAATTCCTTAATATATAACAAAACAAATAACTCATCTAACTGTACGAAAATGATACTTAGGTGTACAAGTCGAATAATCTTGTACTTCAAAATTATTCAAGCTATTTGACCTATTAAAGGTCACTAAGTAACTACCCGCAAAAAATACTATGGATTTTTTACCCTTCTATCAGCCGAGCAAAAAATCCATAATATTCTTGAGCTCATTGAATATGCAGAGGTTAAGTTATGGATGAGACCTTTAAGCCATGAATGTGAATTATTAGGTACATGAAATATAACGTATAACAGACACTTGTTACAGGGGTAATGAATAATTTGATCGGTGGCGTGCCGCGGGCCCGCACCTGGCTATATCCATGATAAATGAGGGTTCTTACCAAAACACTCCCTTCCTCATCATTTAACCCCAAATTACGTTATAACAACATCCTCAACTTGTTTAATCTTACTTTATAATTATTTTAAAATATTAAAATTGTTATCTTAAAGTGTTAATTTGTTAACCTGATGGATATTATGTTGTTAAGTAATTCTTAGCAATAATCAAAATTTCTGTATAAAACATGTCTTTTACAGAACAGAGATAACAATATATTTTAAACGGTGATTTTGGTCTCAGAAACCCACGATTAGACTTCTTAGCCCTTGCATTAATAATATAAGAAATCAAAAATATATATTACTTTGAATGATTTTTCAAAATGCATGTATATAATTAAACATAACATGAGAAATATTCAATTTCAACCGCTTCGTTTACAACTTTTTTGCTTTCGTTTGTTACAGTGAGAGAGTTAATTAATTTACTGCAAAGGCAATATGAATTTTCATCAGTGGCCAGTGTCACTGTATAGAGTATATAGTATCAGTACCGGCCCAACAAAGGCCGAGTGGTGTTGTGGGAACAACATTTAATAAACGCCGAGAATATTGTAATTTAAATTTTATTCGTTTTTTGCGGACCGGAGTTCAAAGCATCTGTCTACGTTGGTCTTAAAATGAGTGCAGCTTGTACTATAATACGTTTCGTTAATATAAGTTTCGTTAATGTTTCTTTTACGATAATCTACAATTCAATATACATAGTCCAATGGTTACGCTCATATACCGATGCGCTGACTTTACGTCTCACCTTCTTTATTCCCCTAAAAACACTTAAGTTCACGGAAGGCGCGCCTTAAGGTCATAAGGGTGCAACATGTGTGTTAAACTTATTTTAAAGTCACTTACCTATGCCACCAGTAACAAAGACATCGATATCAGCCAGCTCTGACGCTATGATAGTTCCTGCAACGGTTGTAGCGCCATCCTGACTGCTGGCTATCACAGGCGCTAGATCTCTCCTTGACGCTTTCACTACGCCTTTTACATTGGCTAGGTACTGAAGCTGGTGCTGTGTCAGACCTACTGTTAATTGGCCTTTGAGGATCGCTATTGTAGCGGGCACCGCACCCTGATTGAACATAAGTAGCAAATAATTTAACATTAAAATAAAGAAAATGAATCATGAACATGACGTGTGCATAAATCAGTGTATGCATATTAGCAAGATTGTAGTTGCCTTTATAATTTGAGACTTCAAGTTTGTTTACCTAACTTTATAACAGAGTTTTGAAAACTAGCAACAGTAAATACGAAGGTAGTTAAAACTTGTTAGAATGTTTGTAACTTACCATTCTCCTTATTATATTTTCCACTTCTTGAGCGGTTTCTAAATTTTGCGGGTAAGGCATGCCATGCGTTATAATTGTAGATTCTAGAGCTACGATTGCTTTTCCTTCAGATTTCGCTTGCATTACTTCTTCCGAGAACCGGAGCGGTGGTTTTGGGTTTGTTAAACTTGAAAACCTTTGTCGAAATATAGAATAGCGACATCTTCTTAGACTGGTCGCTAGTAGAAACGTCATTTCCTAAACGAAAATTATTAACAATCTGTAAAATTAAATAATACTGTGGAAATAATATAATAATCTTAGAAAATTACAACCTAGATATACCACTACATTTTTAGAAAACTTCTTAATAATATTGTGTTCTGATAAAATCGTTTTTTTCTTAATTTATCATAAAACCACTAACAGGAAATAGAAGTAAAAGATTGCCGTAGGTCTTTTTAACGTTAAATTGATAAAAACTATTCACTTTAAAACACTTACAATAAAACCATTTAAAAGTCGCACGCAAAAAGGTAAACTCTTTTAAACGGCTCTTTGCATTATGTAAAAATGCGGTTTATTTTTTATTTAGAGAAGTAAACGTTGTGGTCGGGGTATGGAACAACACATGGAGCTCGCACTGGCATAACGATGTCGCGACATACGCTTTCAACGTAAGTGTTTACATTGTGAAAAAATTTTTTTATGTCTACCTGCAATTTAAAATTAAAACATGAGAAATAATTAAAAAATATTTTATAACGTTGTTTTTTTTAATCTGTCAGGAATTATAATTTACAGAAAGATAACGCCCGAAACGGTTAAGGATAAGTTAAAAAGATATTCTATAGTTTCCTGAGACCAAAATCTCTGCATAAAACATATCTTCATTCCTGACATTATCTTTGATAAACAGATGTAATAATATGATTTAAACAGATTTTGGTCTCAAAACCCCACGGATAGAATCTTAAGCTCTCTTTTTTATATAAGGCCGTGCAAACCATTTTTTAAAGAAAAATTCGTGCAATTATAAAAAAAAAAATGTTTAGAATCTTTGACTTGGATACCAAAAGTAACTTTTTTAATAATGTTAAAAATTCAGTGAAATGGTAATACTGTTCGAAACGACCCCGTAAAGATTCTCACAACATTTAAATTAATTTTGAGTATTACATTAATTTGAATACAAATTTAACGCTGTGCTTAAACATCGCCAAGCGCAACTTTAAAATTCATGAAGTTTAAAATTCGTTTGTGGTGCTTTGATGAATTCAGGCACTGAACGCGACGCAAAAAATAAAGAATTCGAAGTGGATTTTATCAAATTTCATGTGATTTTAATAGTATTTTTTTTCGTTCATATAACATTATAACGATATTATTTAATATGAAGTTAGCTCGTGATAGGTTTGGCATAATTACTCGTATGAAGTCGGCTATGTTTAAAAATATAAATATATTAAAAGATCCAACCGAGTTACAAAGTACGAAAAATTTTGTTGTCTAAAATATTTTTCGTCCGCTTGTATCGTCGGTTCAAAGTAACTTTTACGTAAAATTAAACAATTTTTCTCTTGTTTTGACAGAAATTATTCTCAAAGGCCTTTGTGAACGTAAAAGCTTCAGTTAAAAGGGAGTATTAATTAAACTGTATCCTTATTGTGCTTTTCCATCGAAGTTGTATGTCCATGTAATATATCAAAGAAAATACAATAGAATAAAGTTTTAATTGTAGCGTAACTGGCATTATAATAACTTGTATTTATAACAAACAGTAAACGCAATGTAACTGTAGAAAATAAACGTTTAAAAACATGTTTGTTGGAGTGTTAGAATTAGTTTAAGCATGCGCGGTTTAAGTATTTTCACCATAGACCACAGAGTGTATCCAAAACAGCGTTACAACTATATTAAAAATTCCAATTAAATATAAAAAAGGGTCTGATACAGTTGGAAATATTTAAAACTGAATTACAGTACTGATTTAGATTTAGTAATGTTTAAAGTATGCGGGTTTTCTAAACCTCACATTTTTTTATTTTTCTACTTAAGAAATTGTAAGAAAATTTAAAAGAACAACAACTAGGTATTTTATAACTACATTTATAGGTTTTTTCATAAAATTATTACTAACCGCTTCGATTTCTCGATACTAAATCGTAATCGAACGTTGTACGTTATCTGTGCTATCTGTTTACTATTTGATGATTTGTTACTGTATTCTATGCGCTAGCGGCAATCATTTGTTAACTCTAAAACATGCTTTGTCCAAATGTTTTTAGGTATTTAAAATAAATATTATGAACATTCAAGATATAATACGTTAATAATAAAATGCTGTTCATATCAAGGACGTTGTTTAGTGCTTTTATACATTCAATGAAATCATAACCTCAAAAAAAAAACTCATACTAAAAGTAAAAGTGAGAATTGTTTAAAGCAGAACACATAAGACAAGTGTTTAGTAGAATTAAAAAGTTAATTTAATTTTAATTACTCACGATATTTTAGCTTAGTCTATTTTTAAAAGCAAGAATTAACCACTGTCGCACTCAGATGTTCGATATAGACACACTCTCACTGGGAACGATTGGTAATGACATTGAAATGGTTACCATGATTTCAATTGTAATTTATATGGATTGCAAGTAAAATAAATTGATGAAACATCGACGTGTAGTTAATTGTAAGTGAATAAAATACAGATTATTATGATTTAACGCAAAAGTACCCGCATACTTCTTAAAAATATATTACGTTTGTTTAGCCTAACATTAAAAAGTGAGGTTAAGTTTATTTTCTTGTAATAGCACTGAAAAATACATTCCTCTTATATTAATATATTCTTAGGTTTTTGTTATTAATTAATTTTTTTAATGTTCTCAGTGTCAATTTAAATAATCTGAGTAATGATTTGATTATTATTAGCGCCTTTGAAATTTTAAAATGCAAAAAACGTTTAATAGATAAATGCTGCTATTGACTTTTTATAACACAGAATTATAAATTAAAACTATAAAAACTACATAACGGGATAAATACTATTATAGCTGAGAGGAATATTATAATTATAGGATTGCGTCTTACTGTCGTACTAACAGTTATTAACTTCCCCTCTCACTTTAACTTTAGATTCTGATTGCTGCAGTTATTGTTAACAGTATAGTTGTAGCCTCTTTGAGCATGAACGTCACCAAACCTAGTCTTAGTGCTTTGTATAACTACGAAAATATTATTTAGTTTATTAGTAAAAGTTAAATTGCATTTTATGTGACGGATTCATACGTGTTCTATTTTAAGTTAACATTTACAGATCATAAAGAGCTAAAAACGATTTTATGTTTCTTTTTATACCAGCCAGTTTATATTGCACGTGATCTCTATTTTATTGCTTACACAATTCTCAAATGTGTAATGTTCCTAACTTACATAATGATACTTAAATCTAAAAAGAATAACTTAGTGTTTTATAACGTCACATCTTTTTGTATGCCACATTTTTTTACCACATAATTTTATTTAAAGATAAGTATGTTATATGCATACTACTAGTTAGAAGAATTCTTTTGTTTAGTCAATCGTCATTGCTGATTGAATTAGCGATTGAATAGGTCCCAGCGTAAGTGCAACAACCAAGCTACGACGTATTCATGTTATTTAGATTTGTGGCAAAATACAAAGAGAAAGTTATGCCATTTTATATTCTCTTTCAAGGTAAAGCAAAATAATATTTTGTGTGAACCTTTGCTTTCAAAACTATGACGTGAAAACATTGTTTAATTAGTCTGTCAGTATACTTTTATGATACGTTAATTAGTACAAAAGGAAATTAAAGAAAAAACTTAATTAAATGCGAACACGCGATTACTGAAAGAAATTCCACGGTTATTACACGGTGTTATGTCGCTAGTCGCAAAATAGTCATGTAAAAATACAATTATAAAAATTTCTGCATTAGTAGTGACGTATTTAAAAAATCCATATCAGCAAAAGCCTAATATTTCTCATTATCTAAAGCGCTTTGAAAACAACGAAGTCATCATAGGCACCCGGTGTTGCTGGCCTTTGAGAAAGAGTTACGAACCAATTGTGATTAGAAACGAAATGGAGGAAATTCTTAAGGTCACCGTACAAGGACAGTATTAGGTAGTTGAGTGTATGATGAACCTTTTCAATGTATTGAATATGTTTAAGAGGCTGGCGATAGAAGTGTTTACGTGTGAATAAAATCTCAACGACTTTTTTACGTAATAGTACTGTATAAAGAAACTATAAGTTATTCAGTAGACGATACATCAAAATCTCTCGCCTGAAAACGAGTTGTGAGAGATAACATTATCGAGAATCCCGGAACGGTCTACTATTGACTCGTATGGTGAATAATTTATTTGAATTTCCTAGCTTCGTCTATGTTCAATTTTTATATTCGATACAAAGTATCTTGCATTCTTACTTACTTTTGTGTTAACACTTAACATCCTTCTTTTTTATGATTAATTTTATAATTTTACCCTCGATTATGTACATATTGAGAAAATGACAATACCATCCCAATGTTATCTTTAGATGGAACCTAACAATATAAAAATGGAATAGCATTAAAAATATTAGGTAACCTGCAAGATATATGTTATTACTAGTTCCATGACTTTTAGCATTTACAATTTCTAAACATAGAAGTATTAGATTAATTGAAGTGTTTAGTGGCACAGTGGTCACGCTTCACAGGCACGCTTGCAGGCGTATGATCTACTTGTATATATTTTATACTAAAGGGTGTTGTTTTTTATTTTTCCTTTACACGCCTTGCTATTAATGACGTCATTAATGTATTTTTAGAATACTTTTATAATCCACTTATAATACTAAAAATGGTTTAAATTTTAATGCATTTAATTGCTTAACCCTTATTGTGGTAAGATTTATTTTTTGAAGAAAACAAAGCTAAAAATTATTTTACAGTGATCGTATCTTTATATATATATTTCTTCTGTGAGTGTGAATGTGAACTGATTTTGATGAAATTTTTTTGTGTGTGTTCAAGGGGATCTGGGAATGGTTTAGATTCACAATTTTGTCCGCTGGACAAGGTTTTTTAATTAATTTTTAATTTATTAGTAGTTGTTGATTTTGGAATGTTTTACATTGGATCCGACAGACGGCGCTACCATCGCAGTGTCAAATTTTTTCAGTCAGTTTCAAATTAAAGACGTGTAGAC